TGTTTCTCGTGCTTTGTGCCATGTGGCGCCGTCTTGTTGAAACCACTTGTCAACAAAGTTCAGATCTTCCAGTTTGGCCAATAAAAAGTTACGGATCATTGATCGATATTGTTCGCCGTTGACGGTAACGTTTAGTCCGAAGGCGTCAGTAATGAAAAACGGCCCGATAATTCCACCTGCCCATAAACCACACCAAACTGTTGTTTTTTTCTGGATGCATGGGCAATTCTAGTATGGCACGTGGCTGCTCCTCACACCAGATGGGGCAATTGTGCTTGTTAACATATCCGTTTAGCCAAAAGTGAGCCTCATAGCTGAACACAATTTTTCGATAAAACAGCTGATCTTCTGCGAGCTGTTGCAAGGCCCATTCACTAAAAATTATGGTTAGGTCATTTGGCTTGAAATGTTGCAGAAGTTAAGATTTGTAAACCTTCAAACCAAAATCGACACGTACAATTTTTCGAGTTGTTGAGTAACGCATTCCCAACTGTTGAGATCTGCGGAGCATTGATATTTCACGATCTCCATTAACACTGGTTGCTACGGCTGCAATATTCTCTTCATTACGCACTGTACGCATGCGAGTCGATGGTCCAATAAAGAAAATTTGGTACCTACTAAATTTAGTAATAACGCCTCTAATTCTAGTTTCACTAGGTGGATTGTGACGACCATAAAATGACCGTAACAGGCGAAACACATTTTTCACAGAGTACCAGTTTTGGTAATAAATTTGTACGATTAGCATTCGTTGTTCGTTTGTAAGTCTTTCCGTGACGAAATGGCATGGTATACTGAACAATTCTGACTTTGACAGATTACGCTTGGACGCCGTTACATATCAGTGCGGCCAGCTTGAAAAAAAAGGTCGTAAAAATCACCTATTACTTGTTAAATGTCACACAGAGCAAAAAAAATATGTTTTTAACGACATACAATAAGAATAATAAATAAATACTCTATTTGCCCTAAAAAAGGTAGTAACTCTAGACAAGCCGGCGTCACTTCAAGCCCCGCAAGGCTATTACGTAAAAAACATATGAAACGTAAAAAAACGACAAAATGTAAACTTGCTGCCTAGATAGTTCCTAGTGTGCAAATAGTACATTCCGCGTTTACTCGCTATGAGCGATGTGAGCGTTCATCTATGGAAGAATGACTCAACGACTCGACTCGTTCAATGACCATGCTGCAGGCCGCAAGTCAGTTCCCGTCATAGCTTTGTTGGTTGCAGAATGCCGAGATAGTCTGTAGAGTAGATGTAGATGTGTGGTTAAGTAGCAGAGTAGCAAGGTCACATCTGGACGATTGTGTGTATTAGTCTGCATGTGTATAAAATTAGTGATGTTTACTGTGTGAGAAAGTTATTACTGAATATGCTGTCCATGAAATATATCGATTAGCTGTGCCAAACGGTTTATTTTTGTTGCCTTTTTCCTTTTTGCGTTTAAAAAGCTTTGAGAATCATTACGCGAAATCAGCACCGCAGCCGCGTTGTGTGTAATTAAGCCACATCGCAGAAAAATGAGAATGTCGCATCACATACAAACCATTTTCGCATTGCCTAGAAGTTAGGCGCTGGTGATGATTTTCTACTTGACATCGTAAAATAAATTTCTATAAAATTCAAATGAATGGAAATAAAAATTAATGTACAAAGTAATAACTTTTTTTCATTTCATAAATATTCCCGTATGAACCATATTGTCTCACTTGTTAATTTATATACTTCACCAACCAGGGATTTTCTTTTCTTGTCGCTCTTTTTTCGGAAAATCGGCAAATTTGCATATGTAATTTCCAGGTTGGTACATCTCAAGAAAGTGCACTATAAACCAACAGATTATTAGCACACAAATCCTCACTATGTACCTACGCACTGCCGTTTCCGCCTAGCTATAGCATACAACTTACAGCTTTAGACCTCCATTAATGCCATCTCTGAAGCAGATGTTACGTCACATCAGGACCAAACACTGATAGCTAAAGCATCATGACGTTTAGGCAACACGTACAGCTACGGAACGAGTGTACAACAGCTAGTGCTAAGTTGACAACTTGTAGAAGAACCTACAGAATGTCACAAAAAACCTATATAATGTCAAAAAACCGACATAATGTCAGTTTTCAAGATACGTTTGTGATCAAAATTAATAATTCGAAACCGCATGCAATCTATTCTACTAATAAACGTCGTAGTGACCAATCAGAGATGTCAGTGAATGGAACTCGTATAACATCAGAACAATATGTCAGGTACCTTGGAGTGATCATTGACAAGGGGTCGAATTGACATATTGATTTTTTGCAAACTAAATGCCTAATTACGCTTCGGCAGCTTTATCCGTCGCATGCAGAAATTCAAAATTAAGTTTGATCAACATGATAGCCAGACCTGCCACACTAACAGACCGACGAGGCTTTTAACTAAGAGCAAAGGTCCACCGGACCGCTCTCACGAACAATGACGAGAGAGAGAGAGACAGCCCCGTTTGCCGCGCAGCGTGACAGTGGCTTGATACACCGCTTGACGCACATCATGACGCGCTGCGTGTCCCCGAACTGCTACCGAGTTACCCGATATTAATCCACTTTCGATGGAGGTTTCCAAACTGAATAAATACTACGAAGTTTTATAGTAAAGCCCACCAAAAATGTATTTAATATCCAGCTCGGAAACATAAGTCGTATTATCGCATTTAGGAGATACATTAATTTGAGCTTAGAGTGTCTAGTGACACAAAGAATTTTTATTTTAATGAACATAAACCCAAACATTAGATAATCACTTCTTTCTAATCTGTCACTGAATCACGGTTGTCTGGAAGGTCGCATACCGTTTGACTTTGTACGTTAGTCGGCGGTGAATTGTTCATTGTAATCTTGAAAAGTTTCGAATTCGACAAATATACCATTATTTTCCTTATGGCACTACATACCTCCATCTGTGTCCCCCGTTTGACTGACAGCTGGATTAGATTATGCATTTCAGCACTTATTGCTTGACTCTTCACATGAAATCAGCTCAGTTGAAGATGTACCGGTACGTAATACCTGAATCCTAATTAATTCGAAAAAAAACACATTTAGATCATGGCTGTGACATCCTTGCTACACATAAACAGAACTATTTTCTTTGTTTTATTGTCGCCTGCAACATTTTACGCTTTTTATAATAAATATGGATGGTTGCTCATACATTCACCTTTAATATTTTCAAATAATTAGAGCATACTGCAACGAGCTGCAAATAGGGTTATTATTGTCTAGCTTTTTAGGAATCATCAAGATTTGTATGCATCTGAATTCAGCGTATTTTTTTTTGAGTAGTCATCAAGGATATTATCAGCAAAACTTAAGAAAAATATTGGTCATTTTTACGACTTTTTTTCCCCACCCACACACCCACAAGATGTGAGATTTGGCTTGACCTCCTCCTCCAACCCCTTATCTCGTCACGTGATGTTTTTGAAATCTGTAATTTTAGTGTAAATTGATTGGGTCTAATTAAACAACTCAATTTGCATAATTATTTTTGTTTAACACTAGTCAATACTAGTTTTTCGATCGTAATCCCAGATCACAGAATCGTAAAATTTAATAATAAAATGTTTTATGGGAAAAATTAATAAAGAATTTATTCTAATTCAGTCCACTGAGATTCATGCACGGTCTACATTGTGACTATTGGAACCATGTTGGTTGGAGAACCTGAATGATTGTATCGAAAAAATGATAAATTTCAATATGATTTTGTGGATTGCATTTCAATGGCTCTAGATAAACAACAAAGCTGATTCCATTGACCTAAAAAAGCTTTTAATGTAGTAAGCATAGAAATTCTTTTGGATAAGTTATTTAAAATGGGATTTGGAGATGTTTTGTACAGATTGATTAAGACTTATTTATATGGCAGAAAATAGTACATAAAGATTGGAAATATTGATAGTGAATGGTTATCTAACACCTACGGGTTACCACAGGGGTCAGTTCTTGAACCTCTGTTATACAGTCTTTATGTACTGAATCTCAAGTTGGCCACTCTGAGGGCAAGATATTTTACCTTTGGAGATGACACTGTACTGGTATATAGTGGAACCGACGAAATTGCTTTAACGAATCTCATTAATGATGACGTGAATAGTTACCTCAAATAGAATAATAATTAACATTGAAAAAACAAAATACATTATATTTAAAAATTAGTCAGTTAACAATAATCTAAATATTGTGAAGTATTAAATATTTGGGATTACTAGTATGTAGATGAAAATTTAAATTACTCCACTTAAATGGAATTTTTGATATTATAGTTTTATGTTATCTGCCCTATATAAGAGTAGAGATTCTTTGTCTGACAAAAGCAAATTTCAAATTTATAATGCCTTCATTCTCACACATTTCAGGTGCCAGTATGGGGTATGTGCGGTGAAGTTAGTTTTCGTTAAATGAATTAGTTTTACCGCATTGTCCCTGAAAGAGCTTTAAAATATGGATGTCCTATGCAGTGGCAAGGTCAGAAGGAACGGAGGTTTTCAATATCTTGGTAACAAAATTGTATTTAAACATATCGGATACTTTTAACGAATTCATGGAGTTAGACACGTGATCGTACTTTCTTGAATTATTTATATAGCGAGAGCATGTATTCTGAATGTTTGCAGCCTGTATTTTTTCTTGTCCAGACAGGGATAATTTACCTTTTGCCAGTAGTACATGTAGTTTGATATTAGTACTTTCTTTTTCTCAATTAATTTCTTTGGCGGTATTATTTAACAATTTTTTTTACAAACTCCAATAATTTAAAGGAGTCTGCGACCTCGAATCTTCGCCTCTCCAAGTTTCCAATATTTCTGAGTAAATTGACGCCTCTAGGTATTGGAGATTTGTTCAAAAACTACCACAACATCCTAGATATAAATGAATACTCAAAAAGTCGACAAGATTTTCAAAAACGCTAAGCTGAGACAAACCAGATTTTTTGGTTCTTAACCACTATGTATCGTCGTGACGTCCTAAAGCGTCGCCCTAGTATCCGCGTAGCCTCTATCGCATCGAAAGGACGCGCAGGAGAATCCTGTCGGTGAGCCACAGGCCCCAAGCATCAGGCAGCAGCAGGATTCGCGGTAAGCGCGCTTCCAGCAGCAGCAGTTCGGCATTCGGCTGTTTGCGGGCAAGAAGTAGCCGGTGGACGCGAACGCGCTTGCAGGATTCACGATCGCCACGCGGCTTACAAGCGCTTTTTATTACGCTCTTGCTTTGATATCGCGCGGTCGCTCGCGAATATTTTGTTTTGAACTTGTGGATTTTTTCTGTGCTGGTTTTTGTTGTTTTTTTTTGCTGCTTAAAGGATTTTAATACCACTGCTTAAAGGCTTCTTCTACATGCTATGGATTAAAGACTACATCGGAAACTGAAGGTACGTAATCTTCTAGAGAATTGTGTGATGGATGCTTAGTTTTAACTGACAGCACAAGAAGCAAAGGAAGCCTGAATTTAAAGTGCTTACATACTATAGTCCTCAGCGATACTGTTTTAGAAAATGCCCAATGATTTTTTTCACGTGCAATATGTGCTGGCCCTAATATATATGTTATAAATGCATGTATTCCCTCCCTCTGACTCCTTGATACCGGCTAAGCTGCAACACTATCCTGAAAGTATACTTAGAAAATGTTTGTAGTCTAATTCAGGAATGAGCACTTATTGTTGGAAAAAAAAATTAAAACTAACTATGACACCTTTTTTTGAGGTTTGTATTCAATTCTGCGTCACCCAGTATACTTACTATTTCACCGTATATAATAGGAGTCAGCATTTTATGCAAAACAAAATCTTTTTTTAAAACCCGGACACATGTTTCTAGTATATTCCATAATAATTATCTAGATTTCGAAAAAAATATACGATGAACTCGATCTCACAATAAATACATTGCGGCTACTCCAGACAAAAAATATCTAATTATTGCCTAAGGGCGACGACACCCCACGATTTTTTCAAGCACAGTCCCTCAAGCGAGATAATGTATCTGGTCAGTTCAAAGATGGATTCATATTTTAGATTTTTGGATCCAAACTCAATAATACAGCACCGACGTAATACTGAAATAAGTTTTTAAGATATTTCATTCGTTTTAAATTAATTTTCACAAATATATAACATTTATTGTAGTACGTGATTTTTTTTAATGCCCAATGCCATTTGAGCATTTTGGTCTAAAATTCATTAATTTAGCTGAGAATTTTTATATGAGCTTATGATCGCAACATTTCTTGCTTCAAATCTACAATGAGACACACCCAAGCACATAACAGAATCAGTGCTTTTTAACCCCCCCACCTCCTTACTTATTTTCTGAACGGTTCAGGTTAGCAAGCTGAACTTTATGGTAATGAAATTGACGCGTGGATACTACATTTTAGCGCAAAAGAGGCAATTAAAAATTCAGAGATGGCGGAATGAGGGTCATGTGACACTTCAGTTTATAGTCCTTATAGAACTTTATGATGCTAGAATATAAAATCGCCATCCCTAAAAACGTTAACTGGCCTGCTACTAAAGTTAAGCGATTTTGTACATTGCGTCTGGAATAACTCCATGTACATGAAGAGGCTGTAGTATTTTATATCCATCCATCTTCTTCTCTTGGAAGGGTCTACTCAAATATATAATAATAAAATATGGAATATTCCATTTAAAAAAATGTCAAAATCTGACAATTTTTTTAATCTGAATGTCCCATGTTTTATTGCACATTTAAATAACAACAATCGCTGTCAATCGGAATTACGTTCAGGGCCGGAATACCCCCTTATCCTTTCAGAAGAAGCATTATGGTTACTGATATTGTAGCCAAATCAGCTAGAGCAAGTTCAGATTTTTCTGATGCAATTTTTAAATTTGAATTCTCATAAGGAGAAATACCATCACTGAGTCAACTACTACTAACGTTCTAATGTTTCGGAGTAACAAGTGATCTTTTCTCAATCCCAGTCTGTTTGGTACCAGACCGGTACGCTTGACGACGTTCTATATGTTACAGGTACAGCCTTGAACTTTATGACGTCGCGATCAAAGTGGTTTTTATGAATTTTAAGTACTTTAAATAGGATCCAGCTGTGATCTCCAAGGTAGATAATGCGTGGACGAATATAGATGGTGAAAAAATTCACACCATGTAAATGAACTTAATGCACGAGATAATGTTGCAATTTTGCTTATCGTCTAAGGAACCGATTTTGTAAAAGGTGTGAAGGTGGATATTCCAAAGTTACAAGATGCGGATGTTGAAGGTCGTCAATGTACGTTTAGTGTCCTAGAAGGAACAGGAGTCTTACGATAAAAAAGAAGTTAGAAATGTAGCATTTACTAGTCGTACGCAGTTCCAGAATCAAGTTGCTATGAAATCTAAACGTATTAAAAAGTACTCGCAGAAAAATATCCATCTCGAATACATTTTGTTTGTTATACGAAAACTCATTCAATGTACTATGTAATTGTAACAAAAATCGATCAAAACAATTTTCATTAAATATGAAATATTTTAAAGTGCTTCAAAAATCCATTGCTAAAGGAATTAATTCCACCAAACATGCTTTGCCTATGTCAATCTATGCTGTAATTCCCTTGACAATGGAAATGAACTAAAGTTTCCTACAGAGACCTAATGTTGCTTCAATAATAGTTTTGATGATTAAGTTCCTGCTTACCATTATCTCATTAACATAGTTATGTCATTAAAGATGACGCTATTTGTATTCATTATCGTAATCGTTAAGGTAGAATGCATCTACCATATTTATTGTTTTTCGGGTTTTTCGAAATTCTTTTACATACTGAGCAGCATTAGTTGTCTATATGTATAGTTTATATTAAAATTTGTTGATATAAACTACTTGGTGTGGTGTGACTTAAATAAGAAAATTATGCTGAGTGTTTTTTATTTAGTAATTGATTATTTTGGACATCTTGATGGCCGACACCAGATAATAAATTGTTTGATACAACACATTGATTTAGTAGCGGGTACCATTTTGACTGAACTATTTCGGTGTTATTATGAACTGTTGCACCTGTTTGAAAATAAAATACACTTTTGCAGTCAGGCCACGGTCTAGTATTTGGCAAAACTGTATTCCAATATAAATGTTAGGTTGTTAACTTATCCAACATTTTTTAACCAGTTTGTTTAAATGCACTGATGATCAATTGAAGTTTTTACAAATAGAACTACTTTTGAAATAAGTTTGTTTTTTTAGAATGTACTTTGACTCAACGCTAAAGATTTATCTCATGATTGTGCAATCTATTTTCTGTAGCCAATTTTTGTTTTTATCGATTGCATTAGATCTAATTTACCAAGCGATGCATAGGTAATAAAATCTGACACAATGTACAAAAAAATATCGATACGTAAAAGTAAACCAAGCCTATATTATATTTAAAATAAACAAAAAGTAAAAGTATTGGTAAAAAGCAATCACCATGCAAGAGCGGTCACTATATTGGGTTACATTTGATGTTCTGTGAAATTGGAGCATACATAGTAAATCATTGAGTTTTACAGTCAATGTTTGTTTGCAAGAGAGTTTACTGTAATAAATTGCTCACGAAATCATGTTCCGTTATGTGCAAAACCACCAAAAAATTCTTTAAGTTACTAGTTACTTGTTTAAAAACTCCGTTTCAAGCTTCAAAAATAATTTTGTTGTTGGAGTTCATATTTGACAACCTGGTCTATCCACCAGGATCGAAGTACATAGTAGGGGGGTTGTGGTAATATTGGGGAGGCGAAGCCTGGCAACTAGGCGAGCTTTGGTCCTTTTACCGACCCCTTTGTACCAGCGTTGCAGCTACCGGCAACTGATCATTGAATAAACCAGTTTCAGGGATGCGATGTACCTATTTGATCGTGCATGGTGATGGGAACTGAATAGATCACCGCTCACCCGGTGGGTTAAAAGGGCAACATCATCGGCTTAATAGTGGAATATAGGCGTGATATTTGTGGTTAAATCTCTGTCATGTGGGGTCGACTGAGGCCTGACAATGTTGCAAATATTTCGATGTCATTATTTGTCAGATCATAAGAGAATTGCCAGTTTGTAATTCAAATAGTTTCTAAACTCAAATCTGTTAAATGTTTGTTATTTTTATTGATATTTGTTTATTGCTGTAAAGCACACTTCAGGCACAAAATATTTCTGTCAGTCATCCGCTAGGTGGCGCAGTCATCACGCGGTCATCGACTAGAGCCAGCTAACTCTCCAATATATATCTGTTTATGTTTTTTTTTTGCAATATATATGTATACGAAAACCAAGTGATCTTCTTCTTTGAACTCTGCAGGACTTTCAAATACCAATTCAGTTTTTTCTACTGTTTCAGGTAAGCTTCAACCGTTGATAATGTTTTTGCAAGGAACGAGTGAGTAAGATGTATTTTGAATTAGTGTTTGACGTTACATGTATCAAACTGTTATAAGCACTATTATTTTTCCTTTGTTTCTAGGCTGATAGTTGAAAGGATGTAATCCATCAACTTGCAGGACGCTATTATTTATTGAAGAAAAGTAAAATACGAGGGAAAATAATCTACCTAGCAATGAAAACAAAATTAACGCACAAGTAAAATATGTCAAATAAATTTCGATAATCAGTTTCCAATAAAGTGAATTGTGAGCAAAAATGAGTAACTTAAAATTATCGGATCGCAGTGTCATAAAATTTCTGACAAAAGAAGTCCATCAGCTGAAAACAATTCTTGAGCGAATGATTGCCGTGTATAGGGATGATACAACATCATAATTACACAATAAAATTTTGGTCAAAACAGATTCGATTGGGATGTGAATACTTAGAAGACGATCCTAGAAGTGGAAGGCCGAAAATAGCATAAATGATGAAATCACTCAAAAAGTTGAAGCCATGGTTCTCAAAGAAAGTCTCTACCATTAGTATAATTTACATTGAATATATCGGAACCCGTTGTAATAACGAATCTTGCACGACAATTTGAACATGAGTAACATGACAGCCAGCTGGGTTCCACGAATTTTACGCAGGTTTGGAATTTCAGAAAGTTATTCAGAAACTTTGACTAGCATTTGGAACGAATTGTGACTTGGCTCCGTCTGATTTTTATCTTTTTGGATCACTAAAGGACAACCTTGGAGGACGTTGTTTTGACTCAGATCATAGCCTAAAAGCAGCCGTAGACGACTTCTTTTGGAGTCAAGAGGAACCATTTTTATAAGGGTATAAGCTTACTGGAGGAGAAAAGGTGCAAGTACGAGTATATTGATTTAGAGAGGATTATGTTGAAAAAAAATCGTACGTCTTTTGTTTCATGGCTAGGTAGATTTCTTTTCTAGTGCGCTTCGTCGTTATTGTACTAGATTCAGTTGCAACACTTATCATTTGACAGTTGGTAGCTGACAAGTAAACGGAAAACGGAATAAGCGAGTTAGTATGTTACCTTCATTGTCTTCACTTATAGGCAGTAAGGTTTCAAAATTTGCATCGTACGAACAGATAGAATACTAGTATTTTCTGCGTCAGAAGTAAAATGTTTTGACGTTCAGTTTATCTAAAAAACCAATTTGAATCATCCGAGCATTGGTATCAGAAACCGTGGTAAACCAACAATAAAACATTGAAGCATTTCTCAGCGTACTTTATTGTATTTACATAACATATTATGCGGGATGTATAGACACTGGATCATAAACACACACATCCATAATAAAGCCGACAATAAAAACACATTTTTCAATCAGCATGACGAATAGAAATTAGTACCGGGCGTTTTAACGCGGTATAGTGACGTCACTTATACGAATTGTTTACTTTTTATTGTGTGGGTTATAATTTTATAATTTAGTATTGCGTGTGATTTTTTTCAGTTCCATGTTTCGTTATTCGTTCTTACACGCACATAACTCATTTTTGTTATGTTACGGCTGAGTGGCTTCTTAAGTATTTTGAACTGACTTTGACTTTTTTTTCTTTGATCTGATATCGACGAAATAACAATTTTGCGCATTTGGTTAGTTATATTGAATTTGTTTGATGTTTGCATGATACTTCGGTTATTCACAGCTTTTGTAGATCATACATTCATGGTTGGTTTTTCTTCACTTTGAGTTCTCTCTGAGCTTCTTTTCTAACTATTTGATAGTTTAATGTTTGTATAAGTGCCTTGTGTTTGCATCGTTGGCGTTGACTGTGTAGTATAAAAAGAGGCTCAACTTCAACTTGATAGAGTTTGTAGGTTAGAATGGATGGCATCAAATGGAATACGAAATGTAGACAAACTCGGTACATGCAGACAAATTCTGGTTCAGATGAACCTCATTTCATAATCCAGGAGTTTTTACTATCAGGATTAGGATTAGCTTGAAAAGCAAGCCACGTGTATGGAGAAGAGTAGTACCGATTAGTATAACAAATATCTTGTTAAGCTATTTATATCTCATCCATTCATTGCTAATTCAGTATATATTTAATTTTTTATTAAACACCCGATACGCAAAACGCAGCATTCGAAACACACAAATACCTCGTATCGAACAATAGAGCAACAAAGAAATAGGAGCCTAGTCGTTCGCTTAAAAATAGCAACCAAATCAAATAAATAGCTGGATAACCTTCAAGTTATGATATGAGGTAATGGACGGTATTCTTTGCAGCCATGGTGCCAGCTGTTTGTTAATATTTTGCGCCTCATTAAAGATGTCGGGCTGCTGTTCCCACCAAGGATCATCAACGCGAGTCCTTTGGAGGAGTGAACAGGGTGTACGGCTATACATTGACCCCCATCCTAAGTTTTTTATATGACCTTCTAGAAGGAAAAGTTGTACATAAAAGTATATTGTCTGATATGAAGTTTTTCATCTGATATTTTTTGTATACCGGGCATCTCAGAAAAGTGCTATCAGATAAAGATGTATTTTTTTCAAAATGAAACACCGTGTATAATTTCAGTGAGAAGGGTAGTCCCTTTCTTTGTGATTCCAAATATATATATATATATATATATATATGGTTTTCTTTGACTTATTTTTATTACTTTATTCATTAAATCTTAACCGAACGTGTTCCGGTCCCAATCGAGGTTACTTGATCGGCTAGATGCAAACTGGTTTGAACTCGAATACACATGAGTAAATGACACATTGGGGTGGTTTTAGCGCAGTTTCGCCTACTGGCTTTTTAACGATTTTTTTCTGAACCAAATTATTTATGAAGCCTTATTATTGTATTAGTGAGTTAAGTCGTATCACAAAAATGTTTCAAGATAGGAAGACGGTCTTTCTGGAAGCTGGCCAAATAGATTGAAAAGAAATTCTCACACAGTAGCCTTCCACCACTTACGTGTCAGGATGGAACTATTGTATTCGACGCAAAGGCCAAGGCGGAAGTGCTAGCCAAGATCTTTGCTGCCAACTCCACCATGGACGTCCCCCCCAACGCCCAAGTGCCGTCAATTCAAAGGGTTCCCTACATTATGCGGGAGGTAACATTCAGGCACAAGACCGTAAGATGAGTGCTCTTAGCGCTCGACATCAACAAAGCTTCTGGTCCGGACTTGATTCCTGCCATTGTACTGAAGAGGTCTGCAGCGGAGCTTGCTCCAGTTCTTTCGCGTCTCTTCCAGATATCTTATGAATCCGGCACCTTCCCAGAAAACTGAAACTTTGCTCATGTCCAACCCATCCCAAAAAAAGGATCTAAGATCGACCCTTACAACTACAGGCCTCTAGCTCTGCTTTCTGTTATAAGTAAGGTGATGGAGAGGTGGATAAATCGCGAGCTTCTGGACTACCTCGAACGTCACAGCTTGATTAGCGACAGGCAGTATGGTTTCCGCACCAACGATCCACAGAGGACCTCCTAGCTTACGTCACGCAATTGTGGAGTAAACTCATCCAGTCTTATGGTGAGGCTCATGTCGTTGCTCTTGACATCACGAAAGCGTTCGATCAGCTGTGGCACGCTGCCCTCTTAAGCAAACTTCCATCCCATGGCTTCCCAGAGAAGCTTGGTGGAGTGGCTGGCTTTATCTCTGGCCGCAAGATATCCGTCGTAATTGACGGGTTCTCCTCTTCATCCCACAACGTCAACGCGGGTGTTCCCCAGGGATCGGTCTTGGCTCCAACACTGTTTCTCTTACATACCAACGACCTCCTTTCCTGCACGATCGATCCAATCCACAGCTTCGCTGATGACAGCGCTCTGCATGCAGGAATTCAGAGTGACAAGCCGATCTCTGCCGCTGAGCTGGAAACAAGAAGACTACCGACGACTTGCTCTCTAACAAGAGACCTGGAGGCTATGACTGCTTGGGGACGCAACAATCTTGTACAGTTCAATGCTTCCAAAACACAGTACTGTACTTTGACGAACAAAAAGCGTCCTAGAGCTCATCCAGTTTCGATGGACGGCCGAGTTCTGAGAAAGAGCCATCCGTCAGCAAACAAAACATGCGTTACTAGACTTATACCAATCCTCCAAAATTGCATCAAAGGCCTTTGCATTCACCTAAACTCACATTCTGATGTGCAATTTCTTGAGCTGAAATTATTGGTCCCTGTTTATTTGAGGGAAATGAAGTCACGGCAACAGTAAATTTGAACCTTTATGAAAACATGTTACAGGCTTTTTTTCCACGGGAAACATTTGGTTCCAACAACAGGAACCCTTCGCAGAGCGCCTCATCTCAATTAACGGCCCGCTTTCCCGATTTGCCCACTTGCGATTTTTTATGGTCGCAATCGGTTTACGCAGTGTATGGAGAATGGGAGACGTCACATGTCTGATTATAAAAACAAATAAAAATGTTCTGATTTATACCATAGGTTTTATTGATTTAAAAAAAAAATAAAGATATGCTGCCGCAGCCTGCTAAATAAATATATTGATGCTAGGTAGGACTGCTTCCAAAATTCCGTCTGCTTCAACCATAATATGCCTTCGTTAGGAGCGTAAGCAGCGGATGTAGTAGTAATTTCTGAATAATTCGTCCATTAACTAGTCACGTAGAAGCGGAACAGCGACAAGCATAATTAATATAACAGACGTTAAAATTCCAGAATTTTTACAGAATGTTTTTTTTCAAGGTGTACTCTATCCAAAAACCGGTTGGTTTGAATTAAATAGCATGAACATTGAATGTTCGGTAGAAAGTAGTTGTGTTGACAAGACATCGGAAAACTTGTTTTGGCTGAGTAAGTTCATGAACGTATAATTATAGAAATCACAATACGTGCACACACGTTGATACCCCCAAAAGTAGCAGAAAAACACATGGTTGGAAAATACTGAAAACCTGAATTTTTGCAGGCAATATAGATCTTGGTCTTCCTGTTACAATCATTGGTGCCTTGGGAGTCAAGAACAAGTAATCTACCATGAGCTCTATTTTCAATCACAGGATTGGCAACACTTACAACAACCATCATATATGAACATAATTCGATATCCTGAAAAATATTGAAATGAAATTTCTCGGTAAATTCTGGTCCTAATGCTCACTGTTTCCAGTAATTAGAAGAGATGCAAACACTCGCATTAAAGATTTGCAAAATTGGCATCGCTGATGTATTATTTTTTTATATAACAAAGAGGCTATGATTGATTCATTTTCATATGACAACGGTGCTCAATTCAAATGTGCTGTCTTAACTGTTGATATAAAAAATTCAATGCTTCAGTATCAAAGCAGGTGAGCAAAATAACCAAATATTCTCTTGGAGTTCATTGACTCTCACCGTTCATTATACCCACAAGTGAGTGAGTAGCCCATTCACTAACCCATAAGACGTAAACGTATGTAACCTTCGCACAGTTCTGTAACCCCACAAAAATGCCATGACGTAATTAAAAGAGAAAAGAAAAAAACGAGATGTATTCCTTCTAGGAACAGCACATTACAATAGTACAAATTCTCACCTACATACCAATAGCGCAGGTTCACCGGGCCATGTACATGATTGTAGTACCACGTAGTACTTTATTAACCAATACGGATGATCGATCGCCGTGAATAATGTAATCGATAGTGTTTCGGTCGCTTACATGTTATGTAACCTGAATTGGACTTGTTAAGTAATTTGTCTGTATCACGAAAGTGAGGTGATTGAACTAATTTATCTTCTTGAGTGAAAGAGAGAGGGCAAGATCTTGTTGCGGTTCGCTGAAGGTACATAAGGTAGCCCTTCGTAATGAAAAACACGGCTCTGCAAGCCGTCTTACAAGTATTACAGATGGGTAGCGAGCGTCCTTTCCTGTCATAAAATATAGATTGTTTTTTCCCAAGATGGGTGTTCTGTAGGGTTCGCTACTGGGCAGGACATTATTTCTTTTGCACATTAATGACTTCGTTCATAGCAAAATAAACGTGTCGCCCATTCTTCGTTCATCTATGGATTGTCGATAATATGATACATTTTTCAACAATGTACAGGCTCAACGTCACGGCTTGATTAGCCACGGGCAGTATGGTTTCCGCCACTAGGGATCTATTAGGGATCTGATAGCTTACGTCTCGCAACTGTGGAGTAAACTGATCCAGACATACGGTAAAGCTTACTATTGATAACACGAAAGCGTTCGATCAGCTGTGCACGTGAATTTCTCCATATAATCTCCTCACTCTGTACCAGGCCCACATAAGACCTATCCTCGAGTTCTGCTGACATGTTTGGGGTGCGTGGTCTTTGTTTCCAAGCAAAATCGCCGCATTCGGCAGTCTATAGGTACAGGGTGGCAAACTACGAATGCGATGTACTGTATTTGGGAAACTTATCCATCGTAGAGGCTTGCGGAAAAAAATGTTCTTAAACGGCCAAGAGAAAAATCTGGAGAATATTTTCAAGTTTCTGAAAGGCCGGCTAGGCTGCGTAACCCTTTGACGCCTACTGGTTTCACGACGAAACCACCTGAATAAGAATTGATTTCTAATCGCCGAATGGTCTTGGTGCTCAACCTCATACAGTCACGTGCCCTTGAGACTCCATCTGATAGGCTTTGACAGTTGCGTCGGTTGTATTTGGTTTCCTAGCGTAATGATAACGTTTAGTGTGCGTTGTTGCAGCAAACAGGTGGTTGATCAAAATAAATAGGGGATTTTTCGCTGTTAGATAAACAATGGGAAGTAAGTAAACAGATGATTTATATGATATGATGTTGATCATGATTGTAAAATATTTGGGGATTGAATTTGACCAAATTTAGCTCATATTTTTATACAAAAATACCTTCGGTTACGTTATGAAACCAGTAGGCATGCCGTGTTTTTTTTTCAGATCAGAACAAGAAATATTATATTGCCGACTAGAAAAGATGAGTTCAGATGAACTTTTTAAGATACTGGAAGAAATTCCTTCAGATAACGAATCAGAGTTAGGCGATGAAAGTGATGATGAGGGAGATGAAAATATGTATTTTACCTCTAAGTAACGATGATATATTCGACATAGTCAATTCACCAGTAGATTTTGAAGAAAATCCGGAAGTAGCTAGCAAAAGTGATGAATGGGGTAGTGATGATAATATTTCTTTATCAATAGTTAGGCGTGATGAGCTGGCAAAAATAACGGTCTGGACAAAATCAACTGAAAACTGTATCAGAAATATGAAAATATTTAGCGAAGATGTAGGACCAAATATCAGTTCTGATTTAGACTCTCCAGTAGAAGTATTCCTTGCCGTCTTTCCAGAAGATCTAGTAAGCCACATAGTTTTCCAATCCAATTTATATACACTTCAAAAAAAGGGAACAGTAACTTTACAGCAACCAATGAAAAAGAAATAAAAAAATTTTTAGCTATCAATATGCTAATGGGTATAAAGAAGTTACCCAGTGTTCGTGATCCTTTCTCATCATAT